GTATGACGCTGCAGATGAGCTGAGCTTACGAGAGGATGAAGAAGACGACGACGCCTTCGACGTGAGAAGTAATCGTGAAGAAACCGTGAAGGACTACATCCGAAACTTGAGCTTCGACGCGGCTGAAGAGGACTCGACGCAGTACCTCGAAGTCCGAACCCACGCCTCGCTCGACAAAATCGCCGAGTTCGAAGGAAAGCGCTACCGCTCTGACGCGTCGCTCCAGTGGCTCAAGCGTTTCATCTACGAGATGAAGAGCACCAGGATGCCCCAAAGTGCATGGTGCGAGCCTTTCTCGCTATGCTTGGGACGTGCGGCGAAGAGTTGGTACAGGCAGCTGCCGAAGAAGACTCAGCGACGTTGGAAACTACTCAGCGAGGCGTTCCTGGATTAGTATTGCTCACAGTTCGACCAATCCGCCCGCACTCGTTACTACTCGGCGAGACGTAAAGTCAACGAACCGATCTGCGACTTCCTGATCCGACTCAACGGGTATGCTCGGACAGCCAAGATCCAGTACGAGAAGAGTGGCGCCGACGCAGCTGACCATGTCGAACACTTCTTGCTGCATTGTGGTGATGACGATGTGATGGATTTGATGTACCCCTTGCAGTTGGAAGACATCAGTAAGGTGGAACAGATAATCAATCGTCGGATCCTCGGCGAGAAGCGCAAGAAGCAACGCGACCGACTCGTGATCGCACGAGGCCGAGATGACAAGCGGAAGGATCAGAGCGGCCGAGATGAGAAGCGCAGTCGCAAGGAAGAAAACCGCGACCGCCGAGTCACTGTCGTGGACGCTGACTCCGACGGAGAGGAACTCATCGATCAGAACCCGCCGAGTCCGTACAACTCCGAAGACGAATGGGATGATGAGGACCAGTCCGGAGGCCACGACTCAGCGAAAGACGACGACTACATTGACGCCGGCGTTTCCAATGATAAAGGAAATACACCGGACCGCCGAGAGAACTCGACGGGAGACCAGAAAGGCTCGAACCGAAGCTGGGGAAACTCAGCGAACCGACCTCCGCGACCGTACAACCAACGAGAACAGTCGAATCGTGGAGATGGATCACGCGACAACACCCAACGTGGACCTTGTGCAGTTTGTGGAAGAATGGGGCACTCGGCTCACTACTGTCGACGACGCTGCAAATTCTGCAGACAAGTCCATGAAGGCGGCCAGTGCGAGCTGTTTCGTCAATATGAGAAGCTGGCTGCGTTCGTGAAGAGCTCTGTCGACAAGTCGCAAGT